GAAGAAGAATCTTAGAAACCTGCAGAGAATGGAAACTTATTTTAAATGAAAAGTAGAAGCAAAAACGAAGACAACAAATCAAAAAACACCAAAGTTTGTCACTAATATGAAGTACAGCTTCTAGTTCTATCATGCAATATTTTAAAAGTTCAAAGCATTATCAAATATAGTTGCAGAAACAACTATATTTTAATTTGCACYTTAAATAAATTTTTGTAGTTTATTTTTAAACATGTTGAATGTATTTTAAAGAAATTTTAAACTTGTCAAACAGCTGTTTTTACTATTATTGTTTGTCACTAATATGAAGAGCAGCTTCTGGTTGCAAAAGTTGTGTATTATGCTAATTTTCTTAAATATGAAGAGGTTTTCTTTGACTTTTTCAGTTTGAAGGATAYACATGTCACAAGCACTTTCACTTCTCATTTGTAACAATTTCCCCACATCAGCAGCAGCCTCTCTGTACTGTTTCAAATATAACAAATTAGAACAAAAATAACAAAGTGACTCTTCATTCAGCTCAATTAGGCTGCCTCAAGACCAGAATAATGTAATTTAATGAAAACAGACACAGAACCATGCCAGCACCTTCCTTACTCTAACTCTTTTTAAGACTAATTTAATTGGAAATGCACAATATGCTAAATATAAGAAGCTTGTTGAGTCTTGCAGAGTTTTTTATGTAATAAACTTGTTTTATAGTTTACTTACTTCTCTACCATCTCGTCTCTCTGGTTCCCTGAAGCCTTTTTGATCCAGGAAAGCGCACGCGAAGCTTTCTCCTCCTCTCCTCTCAGACTCGAGGCTCTGCCTCCCGCGCTCCTTCCTCACGAGCTGCCCGCTCTCCTCCACATGGTCTCCGCGTGCAGCTCTGCCTGCCGACCCCCCACTCCGCTTCACTGTCTCCGGAGAAAATCCAGCCAGAGCCAGCACATCCCGTCCTCGTCCCCAAAAAAACACACACAGACGCACGCGCGTGCGCTAAAACCGAGCGTAAAAGGAAGAGAGAGAGCAACGCGCCTCCAATGATGAATAATAATAATACGGCCAGGTGTTTGGAGACAGCAGTCCAGCGCGCTGTGACCGGATGAAGAGGAGGAGGAGGAGGAGGACGGTGCTGAAGTCAAAACAAGCACGAGACTGAGCTGCACTGCGCTGATATGGTTTCTGATAGAGAGAGAGAGAGAGAGAGAGAGAGAGAGAGAGAGA